GCAGGGAGCCCGATGCGGGGCTCGATCCCAGGACCCCGGGATCATGACCTGAGCTGAAGGCAGACGCTTAACGACTGAGCCACCCAGGTGCCCCAAAATGCCCGGTTCTTACGCTGGTACCTGCAGCTCTCCGTGTCAGGCCTTTGCTTGCCTTTGGGACCCTAAGTTCTGACAGCAGCTGTGCCTGACCATGTGAGGCTTGGGATAAGCCTGCTGAGTAACCTGTCCTGTCTCAGGCTGGGGTGTTTGCTCTGGCCTGGGGACAAGAGGCGGGGGGAGGAAGGAGAAAGGCATCACATGAGGCTCCTGCCCTGGGAACGGAATGTCCAAGCCAAGCAGCCACAGTGGCAGCGGATTGGCCTGGGGAACCCAGCCCCTGCCTAGCCATTTGCTGTCTTAAAGGCGGGGTTCTCCAGTTTGGCACCCCTCTGTGTATTCCTAGTGGGGCTGCCTGTTGAATGGCTAATGAGCTCTGTGGCCCTGCTGTGTTTCTCCGTTGAGGGCTGAGTGGTTTCACAATGGCATTTTCTCCCTCTGCTCGGAAGACTCCTTTCCCGGGGTGATCTGGCTGGCTTCCCGCCTGTTCTGCAGGGGGAGCATCGGGAGGTGGGCCGGCCTTGCCCTGTAGTGGAGCCAAGGCGCCTGTGCCCCAGGGCCACCCTGATGTTTGCGCCCCTGACGCTCTAGGAGCCCCGCTTGGTGGGCTTTGGGACGTGAGTGTTGCTCCCTCCCATCCTAACATGGTGACCACCCTCCGATGTCAGGGGCAGGTGTCCAAGACTCATGCCTGGCTCTGCTGCCAGGTGGCCCAGTGCCTTTGGAGAGGCCTGGGCTGAGGGGGCAGAACATCTATACTGTCAAATTGCCTGCCTGCCTTCCTGGGTGTTCTTGGTCGGGAGTGGCTCCAAACCATGCAGCCCCCGTCCACACAGCCCCCGTGCAGAGAACTGCTGCTGTGTCCTGGGGGGCGGGGGGCAGAGGTCTGTCTCGCTAATCTTGTCATGAGGCCCATAGACCCTGGTCTGGGGAGCGATATAGAGGCCACCACCCCAAATGAAGGCCCCAGGAGTTGGGGCAGGGAGGCTACAGGTGGTGCCGGGCCTGCCCTGGGCATAACCGTGTGAGGCACAGAAAGGATGGAGGTTGTCTGAACGCACAGGACGCCCAGCAGGCCTCCCGAGGGTCTGCATAGGGGGCCCACGAAGGGTTCCCTGGGGTAGGAAGCAGGAGGTGGGAGGCTGTAGGTGCTGGAGGGAGAGAGTAGCCATCTAGGGCTGGGGTGAGATGGTGTTTCCCAGAACACCTGGTAGAAGGCAGAGGCCGGGGCCCTGGCTCTAGGAGAGGAGCCCCACAGGATCTCCGCAGCAGGCTGAGAGCTGTGGGGATAAGGGGCTGATTGGCTCTGATGAGGACACCAAGGGACAGTGTGGATGGCAGGTGCATCTGTCTTGGCTATGCAGACCCGGGGCTGGCTGGAGGTAGAGCCCCAGGGTGGTGGCAGCTCTTCTGGGACTGGTGGTGCAAAGTGTGCAGAGGACTTGGGTGCTGCCTGGAGTCAGGGCCTGGGGGGCCAGGGAGGTAGGTGTGCAGATGGGAATGAGCTCCATTGGGCTTCTCTGCACATCACTCCCTCCTGCCACCTGCATTTCCCCACTGGGAGAACCCTCACTGGCTCTCCTCACTTTCTGCTTTTTTTTTTTAAAGATTTTATTTATTTATTCATGAGAGAGAGAGAGAGGCAGAGGGAGAAGCAGGCTCCCAAGGAGCAGGGAGCCCGATGCGGGACTCGATCCCAGGACCCTGAGATCACGACCCGAGCCGAAGGCAGACGCCTAACCATCTGAGCCACCCAGGCGCCCTCTGCTTTTTTCTAAAAGGCAGCCAGCCAACAAATCCCCCAGTGCAGCGAGCTGAGGCTTGGAGGCGGCCAAGGGGATGGTCGGGGCCTTCCTGCCGCCTCTCCCCTGGGCCTCTGGTGTTCCGGTGTTCCCCCTCCTCTGCCCTCCGCCCCTGGGCGCACTCTCTTCCCTCTTCCACATCCTGGGCTTTGCGTGCGTGCGTGCGTGTGTGTGTGTGTGTGTGTGTGTGCGCGCGCACGCGCACGCGCCCAGGGTTCTTCCTCTCCCCACTGGTGACATGACCTTCCCTCCCCTCCACTGTGCCTGGCCGCTGCCATCTTGGTCTTCTCGTGACCCACCCGCCGGGCCTGGTTGAGAGTGTGACCCTGATCCTTGCTGGTGCCGCCAGCCCGGTTCCTCTGCTCGGTCAATGCTGAAGTGCTTGCCGTCCGGTCAGGGGGCTCAGCAATGGAGACAGCTGCAGTCTCTGCTTCCCCTGCTGGGCCTGCTGGCGGTGAGGAAGCGAGTGGCCCATGCTCCCTGTGCCTTTGGAGCCTGGCTGGGGCTTGCACAGTGGATAGGCCCGCTGAGGGGTGTTGAGCAGGACCCTTACACAGTGCTGGGCCACGGGGGGCCTTTTCGATAATGGTTTCCCACGTGAATGGAATGCGGCCTGCCTAGAAGGCAGGAACCTTGGAGAGGATACTCCTGTTTCTCTGAGCCATGGGCTGTGTGGTTCCAAAGCAGGCCCGAGTCCCCAGCAGCCACCATCCTTGCTGACGAGACCCACGCCTCAGTGTAGATGGTGGGGCCCGAGTCGGGCTTTTGCCTGGTTGTACCTGGGCCACAGCTGGGGGCTGGTCTTACAGGTGCTCCTTGTTCCCAGTGGGGATGCTGTTGTGTGGGCCAACCCCTCCCTCATGTTACAGAGTCAAATATTGTCACACAGTGACACCTCACCCTCTTTTCTTCTGTACATCAAGCGCATGTGTCTAGTTGCCATGAAGTGGCCCCTGTCCCCGGGTTGGGGCCTTGTGGGCTGTGCAGCAGGACGTGGAGCCCCCAGCCTCTGTGGGCTGGCCCAGCTACTGGGACTCCTGGGTCCTGACCTGGGCATCCTGGCTCAGAATCGCCAGATATGGGCCCTGGGGTCACACAAGAGCCAGGGTCCCAAGGGAGGGCTCCCTGGAGGGTGGCCAGCAGCCCCCGACTTGCTGTAGGAGCATGGAGGTCAAAAGCTGCCTTGGCCCTCTGACTCGGCTTGAGACCACCGCAGGTGCACTTACTTCTACCTCTGTGTCAGGTGCGAGGCCAGGGCGGCTGGGCTGAGCCTGAGCGGGGGCAGAAGCAACCATGGTCTCAGGCTGGCCTCACTGTCCTGTCCTCATGAGGACTGGGGGTGTTACTCGGGTATGATGGGAGGACTTGGTTTTAAAAGAAAAATTCTGGCTGTTGCTTGGAAGACACACCTAAGGGGCGAGAAGGAGGCAGGGGGCTGGCAGGCAGTGGCTGAAGGTGGGGCCAGCCATGCGCAGGCAGGAGCCCAGAGCCCAGCCTGGGGCTCCTGGTGGTTGGAGGGGCCTGGATGTAGGGGGTGCATAGAGCAGAGCAACTTCGGGAGTTTTGTGCGCTGGCTGTTGCCCGGGTCCATTCCTTATCAGCCCTGACTGGCCCCGAGGCTCCGTCTTTCCTTCAGAAGGAATGCCCCCATAGCCAGCTTTCTTCAAGCACCTATTCCGTGCCTTGGGCTGTCGGCTAGTTTTACTCACTCCTCACCTACCTGTAAGGACTCTGAGCCTTCTCCAGGGTGTAGAGCCTGTGGGCCAGGCCGGTCCGTGAGGCTGCTGCCCCACCCTGCTCAAGGGAGGTGACCCTGCAGGCCTGCGGTGGGTGGGTGAGGAGGGAGGTGGGGCACGTGAGTCACTCTCACCTGCCCGGGCTAACCCAGCCCTTCTCCTACAGCCCTCCTTGTCAGGTCAGGGTCAGGGCTCAGCGTCTGGCTTCCTCTCACCTCTGCCTGCTCAAAGGGAACCCATGCTTGTCACTTGCAGCCTGAGGTGGCGTGACCGACCCTCACCCTCTTCTTCCTTCACACAGGTCCTGTACGTCCGCTGTAGAGAGGGAGGGCAGTGGTGAGTAAGAGAAGGCTATTCAGGAACAAATACTCTCTCTACCTGTCCCCTCCCCCGCCCCCAACCCCTCCTCGGGAGACCTTGGTTCAAGGGCACAGGCGAGACTTGGGGCCAGGGCTCCTCCCTGTGTGCACCCAGGCCATTGCTCCAAGTCTGCCGACATCCTCAGGCTGCTCCCGGGGGTCCTGGCCCCCTTGGCCCTCAGTGGCAAACCCTGTCCCATGTGACTAGGGCTCAGCCAGGGAGAAGGAACAGTGAGTGTAGGAGCAGGGAGTGGTGGGCAACACAGTGCAGGGAGGCCGTGGCCACCAAGGAGCCAGCGCCGAGGGCAGGGGGCTGTGGGCCATCAGCAGGCCTTGCCGGATGCCGGGGAAGCCCTGTGTTTGCCCAGAGCTGGGTGGGAGCGGAGCACAGCACACAGCCTCTGTGTGCTCAGGCCGTGTACCTGCCCCTCCAGGTACGAGTAAGAGGGAGAAGCAGTACCAGGCCCACCGGGCCTTTGGAGACCGCAGGGATGGTGTCGTCAGCGCCCGCACCTACTTCTATGCCAGTGAAGCCAAGTGTGACAGCCACATGGAGACATTCTTGCGCTGCATCGAGGCTGCAGGTGGGGCCCTGCGCTTTGCTGGCTGTGCACCTGCCGGGGAGGGCCAACCCCTACGTGTGGAGATGCTGATGGGTGAAAGCGAGGCCAGGCTGGAGCACTCGCCTGGGGCTTCCTCTCTAGGTGGCCCGGACAGTCATGAGGATGACTGTGGGTGACACTGGGGAAGCCATAGGCTGGGCTCAGGTCATACCGGGGTCACGCCTGAGTCCAGCCCTGCGCAAGGAGCCCGGCGCCTCCTGCCTCTTCCCGGATACCAGTGCCCAGCTGTCCGCGGGCTGAGCAGCCTTCCATCCCGGTCAGGGGCTCGAGCCTAGCCACACGTGGCACTTGGGTTTGGCAGCTACGCTGTTCCAGGAGCTGGTGCCACGGAGGACTCCTCCGCACCTGGCCTCTGGGTGGAGCGCTCGCCAAAGGAGGCGAGTCGGGGGGAACTCCCCCAGCCACAGCGCAGCCCCACCGCGTGGGCCCCGCAGCCCTTCCATTCGTGGACTCTACCTTCTGCACACTGGGAAGGGTGGGAGTGAGTGGTGCTCGGCAGCGGCCTTCTGAGAGCGGTGCTGGGGAGATGCCAGTGGTCAGGCAGAGACTCGGCCACGCGGGTTCAGAGCAGGGGCGCCTCCTTGCCTCTGTGCCTGCTCTGCCTGAAGTGAAGGTCACGGAAGTGAGGACGGGTCGTGGGTTTCTGGAAGGGAGGAGAGGGGCGAGTGGGGTTGAGCACCTGCTGTGTTCCATGCTCTGTTCTGCTGGGTGTTTCTGCGTTCTGTGAACCCTTCCCCTGCCCCTCTCCTCTCCCTTGCCCCCCTCCTCCCCCCCACCCCCGCCGTGGGCAGCCTGGGGTGCCGGTGGCATGGGAGAGGACGTGGGGCAGGGACAGAAGGGGCCAGCTCCTTTGCCCACCGGCTTCCTGGATCCATGTGGCTAATAAACCCTGCCAAGTTGCCTGTCCCGCCTCCGAGGTGGGGTGCGCATGTGTATTTATGGGCTCAGTAGGAACATTGTCCTTCTGCCCATAAGTGGTTAGCCAGCCAGCCCAGGATATGTGGCTCCTTGGTGGGCTCTCCCCTCCTGTTCAAGGGCGGGGGGGGCGGGCCTGGTGGCTGGCAGGGGCCCCTGGCGCCATCCACCTTAGCCTGAGATGGCCAAGCTGCCACTAGGGCTGCTTCCAGGGAGGGTAAGGCAGGCATGCTGGGGAGCGGAAGGCCCGTCCAGGAAGCGCGGTGCCGTGCTAGGGCCGGGTGGGGAAGGGAGGAGAGATCTGCTGGTGCCACTCCGTGGTGGTCTTGGGGCCCATCTGGAAGGGAGAGCCAGGACTGTGTTGCTGTAGGTAATTGGTAGGAATGGGGGCCATGCCAGCCATTCGCAGTCTGTCACGAGTCTGGTGAGATGTGTCTAACTCCTGGGGGGCACAGATTCTGGGCGCGGGCTCCTGGTCCTCCTCGTCCCCCTCTGGAGCCCTAATGGTTCTTCCTGTGGCTTCTGACAGGCGGAGCCAGTGATGATGGCTTCTCAGCCATCAAGCTCACTGCACTGGGGAGACCTCAGTTTCTGGTAAGTGCCAGAACCTTCCACGTGCAGAGTTTGTGAGAACTTGGGGTGCTGTGAGCATTAAGGGAAAGCTCCTGTGCTGGTACGTTGGTGCTGGGAGCCAGGCACACAGGGAACCAGGAGGGGGCCCAGGGGCTCTGCGGAGGTCCTGGGGGCGGGAAGCTGGGCGTGCGCCAGAGAGGGAGGCTCAGGCCTGCACTTGCAGCTGCAGTTCTCAGATGTGCTGACCAAGTGGAGACGATTCTTCCACCAAATGGCTGCAGAGCAAGGGAAGGCTGGTCTGGCTGCCATGGATACGAAGTTGGAGGTGGCCGTGCTGCAGGTGTGAAGCCTTGCCCGGTGGGTGTGAGTGGGTAGGCACTGTGGGGGCTCGGGGAGGAGCCCCGGCCAGTTAGTGTGTGCGGTGGGTTCCCAGAGGCCTGTAGCAACCCCCCCCCCCCGCCACGCAGCAGCAGCTGGGGTCTGCTGGGAAGGACATGCTGGGGGCGAGGGTTCGAGGAGCGGGGTTTGCCCTGCAGGTGGCAGAGTACTGCTTTGGGTCCAGGAAGGGGCATCAGGGACAGGTAGGAATGAAACACAAACCAGAACCGTATCCTGTTCGCACTAATGGTGTAATAAAATAAAGTCAAAAGAGCAACGCAGATGTTGGGGGGGTTGGGCAGGAAATGTTAGCGAACGGGGCTGGGGCGGGTTCATGGCACTGGCAACTTCTTACTTCTCAAGGAAAGTGTGGCAAAGATGGGCATCGCCTCCAGGACGGAGATTGAGAACTGGTTCACTGCGGAGACCCTGGGCGTGTCTGGGTAAGAGTAGCCCCCGAGCTGGGAGTTCCGGAGGGTCTGCCCTGATTCAGCCGTGGTTCCAGCAGAGCCCCAACGGCTTCTCCCAGTCCTTTGCCCTCCTGGAGAGCATGGGCCTGGCGTGACAGTGCTGAAGGACCTTTGCCCCGAGACACACAGCAGGAGTCGTGGGCCTGGAGGGGGCCTGGAGTCCACGGGGCCGGGCCGCAGCTAGCCCAGGGCTAGTCCAGACTGTAGCTGCGTAGGAGCACCCCTGAACCGGCAGGGCCGCTCACAGAATTATTTGGGTCCTAGAGTAAGGGTGCCACACTCAGCCCTCCCTGGGGCCCACATGGCAGGCAGGCTGAGGGTCAGGGCAGCTGAGATCCTAGAGGGGCCCACACCTCTTTCTGAGGGGTCTGGAAGCTGGGACTGAGATCACCAGGGCCCCTGGGGGGGTGGGTAGCAGCTGTCCCGTTACATGCAGGGTCTGCCTCCTTCCTGGCCTCCCATGTTTGGCTCTTTCCCAAGCCTGACATGGCCCATGGTGTCCTTGGTGTTCACCCTGGGTTTTTAGTAGCTGCCGCCGCCCCAATGCAAGAATGTTCTGGTTTTGGTTTCCATTTTGTAAACAGAGGATAATGTTAACATTTTATCTTTCTTTTAAAACTGAACACTGAGGTGGGTTTTGCGGGGGTTGGGCTAGGGGTGCTCTTTTAAGGCATGGGCTGGTTTGGGGACTGGGCCCCCCTGACAGATCCTAGTGACCCCGTGCTGATGCAGCTTCTCCCACAGCACCCTGGACCTGCTGGACTGGAGCAGCCTCATTGACAGCAGGACCGAGCTCTCCAAGCACCTGGTGGTCCCTAACATGCAGGTGACCACCCCTCACCCCTGAGCCCTGTCGCACTGGGGTGCGAGGCTGAGAAGGGAAATGCTCCCTGTCCCTCACCCTGGGGACACAGCTGGCTGAGACCAGCGTCCTTCCTGGCCACACAACATCCCTGTGGTCCGGAGGAGGAGGACAGGTCCCTGAGTGCCCCACGTCCTCTATCCTTGCATGCTGGGTCGTCCCAAACCTCAGTGGCCTGAAATGGCAGTAATCCTGTTGTCCCGCATCGCAGTTGTGGACTGACCAGTTCTAGTGGTTCTAGCTCAGGGTTTCCCTTGCAGTTGTTCTCAGAGGGTGCTGGGAGCTGGGCTCATTGTGGAGGGGCTCCACTCACATGGCCTGCGGTGGATGCTGGCTGTGTGGGGCGGGGCTTCCTCGCCATGCAAGGGCTGGGCTCCCAGGGTGAGTGTCCCCTGAGAGCCGGGCGGAAGCACGGTCACCTTTTCCAGCCTCACCCCAGATGTCCCATGGCGTCACTTGTGCCCAGTTGTGTGAAAAGTCACTAGGCCAGCCTGTGTTCTCGTTCTCACCAGGGAATGAGAGCCCCCTTCCCTGCCCTTCCTGCCTGGGGGAGGTGCCAGGACTTTGCACTCTGTTTGAAACCACCCCTCAAGCTGGATGTAAAGCAGCAGAAGCGCCTTGGGAAAACATCCCGCAAACAGTGCCTCCCACAAGCACCCGGGCCCAGCTGACCGAGGGCCCAGCCCCCAAACTGAGACTCTGAGGGCCAACAGAGGGGCATGCTCCGGGCCCCCCCAGGAGTGCCCTGGGCGGGGTTAGCAGGCATGTGGTGCTAGCAGAGGGCCCAGTGCCCTGTGGGCCTCCAGGATAGGTACCCCCTGCCCACCTGCTGCCTCCCCGAAAGCCACCATCTGGGGATGGTGCCTCTGTCCCCGCTGCTGTGTTGTCAGTCTCCTGCAGGCTGTCCCTGTCTGCCTGCGATCGCCATTCTCCCTCCAAGCCCTCTCCTTGCTAGGGGCTGAACCCTTCTGGGTGATTGGATGGGCCAAGGGTTATTTCCTTACCGTTGTGTGGGGGCAGAAGGGGGATCCCCTTCCAGGGTCCTGGGAGGCTGTGGGAGCAGATACCTTGGGTGCAGGCCTGACCTGGGGCAGCTAGCCCTGTGAGTCAGAGGGTGCTGGCTGGCAGCGAGGTTCTGGGGTGCCGTGTAGCCAGGTGGCCTCAGGGCAGGGCACTGATCTTTGCTAAAAAATGGGGAAGGGGTGGGGATGAGGTGGCCTTGCGGGTCCTGGGGACCATGCACTGGGTATTGGTAGGCCCTGCACACGGCGGGGGGGGGGGGGAAGGGTGCCCTTGGGCAGGGGACGTGGTGGCTTTCAGAGGTGGGGGCTTAGAGCCCTGCTGCGGCCTGACTACATGCTGCCCCAGACAGGACAGCTGGAGCCTCTGCTGTCACGGTTCACTGAGGACGAAGAGCTGCAGATGACGAGGATGCTGCAAAGGATGGACATCCTGGCCAAGGTCGAGGACCCTGGGGCGTGCCCAGAGAGGGGGCCACGTGTCTCACCTGACCCCAGTCAAACCCTCTGTCCCACCCCTGCACCTCTTAGAAAGCCACGGAGATGGGTGTGCGGCTGATGGTGGACGCCGAGCAGACCTACTTCCAGCCGGCCATCAGCCGCCTGACCCTGGAAATGCAGCGCAAGTTCAATGTGGGGAAGCCACTCATCTTCAACACGTACCAGTGCTACCTCAAGGTACAGCCCCTGCCTGCCGTCTCCCTGCCGGCCCTCGGGTGAGCGGAGGCCCCTCGTGTAAGTCCCGTGCTGGTGTTGGGGAGAGGCCTCTACCTGAGCATGATGGACTCCGAGCAGGAAGAAAGGCCCAGGGCCCTGTCTCCAGCTGTGTACCTGCCCCTTCTCTGGGCCTCAGATCCCAGATGGGTGTAGAGGGGTAGGAGGAAGGTGAAGTTGCCTTTTTACGGTCTGCTTCATGTGCCTTAATCCCCAAATTTGGAAGGCCTCACGCGTCACTGGTTTTTCCTGCCATTTTTTAGTTCGGGTCCCATCGGATCAGATGGTTCATGGGACTGGCAACTTCTGGTTGCCTCCCCACAGAAAGACTTGCTCAGGATTTTGCATGTACCTCTGGGAGCCCCGGGGTGCTTCAGGGTGGGATTGCTGAGCACGAACCTGGGCTGGGCTGCTCTGGGACCAGGCAGGTATTTGGAAGACAATGGTGTGGGATGGGTGTCAAGGCTCCGGCGGGG